GACCACCTCTAGGCTGCACCGTGGCTGCTGTTTAACAGTGCACAGCAACACTGGCCCAGAAGCTAGGACTCAGTGAAACAGCGAGAGAAGTAGGATGGCACTGTATTTTTCGAGGGATAACGCTCCAGTTCTACCCAAGAGCATGCTGGGAATCTTTCATAAGTGGTCAGGGTCTGTTTTACGGCTCATCCAAAAAGCTGGCAGCTGTAGCAGCACCGTGTCCCCTAGCCCCAGGCTGGGGTGTTGGCTCACTGCTGCCAGGCAGATGCTACTGGTGTTAGTACCCCTCAGGCTTTCGCTGGATGGCTCCCATCCATGCAGTGACACAGCCACCCCACAGTAAGCCGGAAAGGCCAACAATGCATAGAACAGGCACAAACAACAGTAACCCAAAGCCATGGGCAGAAAGGGGGTAGGCCACCAACGCTGCAGCGGCAGGGCCAGTGGCAGGCCGAGCAGGCCGCGGTGGGAGCAGCCGAGGGAGCTACCTGCTCTAGCGAGACGGGGTGTTTGATGTACACGTTGGTCTGGATGTCCTTCGCTGGGAGTCTCTCTAGCTCGGTGTGGAACTCAGCCACGCGGTTCTGGGACAGCAGGAAGAGCAGGTTCAGTCCTAGCAGCTGATGCTTGTAAGCAGAGTCCGGTAACTCGTCCCTACAAGGAACAGCCGTGTATTCATTTCAATAGAGGCCCAAAGATGTTAACAGAGCCCAGTCACTGTCTAACATTAAACAAGGATCCCGAGAGCTCAGCCTCCTTAGTACCCTGGCGCACACACCATCAAGCAGCCTGTTACCCTTTTGGTACAGGTAAAAGAAGGAAAAACCCTGAAAGCCTTGGAAATGTAAAGCATTAAATAAGGGTTTCATTCTAGCAGCATCCCTTGGTCCCTTTCCCTCCAGCCGGCTGACAGTCTCGAACGCTATCAGAGCAGTGGGTGAGAACGCTCCTTTCTGGGAAAAGCAAAGATGTTCGCTGGAGCCGCCGCTGTTAAAGTCTGATCCTGTTTTATCCCAGGCAGCGGCTGAGGTGGTGCTACTATCTGGCGCCTGGCCATCTCTCAGGAGCAGGATGAAGGAGTGCAGGGGTACCAGCTAGGATGAAGCTCGCTCCAGTAGCCTCTGTCTGTTTTTGCTTATCCCCCCCCCGCCCCCATCTCTTTCTTTAAGGACCAAAAAAGAGAATGACAGGTGGAATAGCCCACCCCCTCATTAATTTGGCCACCAATGAGGACTAGTTTCTAACACACCAATTTTGGTTTATTAATTTCGGGCCCATGTTTTCTGTCTCACAGGCATTATTTCAACATAGTCCTTGAGCGATAGCAGGAAGCTTTTGGTTCGGTCTAATTCAGTTTTTCTGTTTGGCTTTTTTGCACCGTTTAGAACGTTCTTTATTAAAAGGGGACTAAGATCTGGGAGACTTACCCGGGGCCTGGGAAAGGATCGCTCCCAGGGAACAGCACGGTGCTGCTAGTTGTGTTGTGCCCGTGCAGTGGTTTTGTTTGGGGCATCTCTCCTGGGCTGCTATCAGAGACGGGATACCTGACTAGAGGGCTCACTGATCTGAGCCATTCACTGCAGCAGGAGATTGGACCAGAGCGTCACCGGGATCCAATCCAGCGTGGCAGGAGACAGGATTTTGGACCAAAGGGGCCACTGGCATCAAATATACCAGACTAGCTGAACCAAACCATGTGTATTCACACTACCAGCAAGGAAAGTCTAAGGAGGTCAGTACGCCCGGGTGTCGTATGATGGGAACGTCTCCCATCCCACAGGGGTCAGTGGTTATGCTACGAAATGCTGGGGGTCCGACACTCACTTGTAGTCAAAGTAGTAGCATTTCAGCTGAGCCATGTATCTCTCGAACGATGGGATGTCTTTCTTCAGAATGCTCCACTGGGCTCCGATTTCCAGAATATCCCCTGGGACAGAGAGAGATGGAAAGGCAGAGTAAGATAGCTCGACTGGCGGAGAGCAGTGGGGCTTCTCGCCTGACCGAGATCTTGAAAGGCTCCCTTTTCTATTCGCAGCACTGCAGCGACGCCAGGGCTGAACAAATCTCATTCGCCAGGGGCGCGTGGTCAGGAAGGAAACCCCCTCCGCCACATATAGCCAGCCCCCTTCATCAGGGAAGTCTGCCCTTTCACTAGAAGTATCCGTCAGGAGGCTGATATCAGACCCAGTGCATTTTGGCCATTTGCCAGGCAACACAGAGACAAACTGCAGCTAAGCTTGCATGGCCTGCTAGTCGGGGGAGGGACGGGGGGGTTGGAGAGACAGGACAAGCTCCTTCTAGGGAACGCAGAGAGGATACTCACTGGCTAATATAAGCTGCTGCTTCGTCAGTTTCGTGCCTGTAGTAGGCAGGAAGTTGAGCTCCAGCAGGGCTAGCTGGAACAGAAAAGCAGAGCCGCGTTACACGAGACCGGACGCTAGGACAACCAAGACGTAGCATTCCACCAAGGGCCGTGGGGGCCTGACTGCAATGGGGCTCAGTCCAGTTCCTTGCAGCACAGGTGGCCACAATGGGAGACTCCCTCAACACAACTGGGTGGCAGGCTAAGGCTGAGTACACCAGAGTCTTTGGCAACGGAGTTGCCAGGTTGGGCCCCTCTTGGCGGAGGGGGTGGACGGCAGGCGTGCTTACGCTGGCTGTACCTGTCCTGGGGGCAAAGAAGCCTTTGGTATCGCTCAGCTCGCCCCTTTCAGCAGTGCTACGTTCAACCGAAGCGTTAACAAATGCACACTGACGGTGGAGCACCAGCCCTGCTACAGCTGAGGTGCAGAACAGCTCTCTGTTTAAAGCTGGACTTTCCAAAGCACTCAGTTCTGCCAACTGATCCTAAGCCTCAAACGCTTACAGCAATACCAGGGGTTCCTTCACATCAGCCACTTCTGGGGTGGAACGCTACAGCCACTTACCAGCACCACAATTTTGGGCAGGAAGTGAAGAAGAACCCAACATTTAACCGAGACGGCGGTGGTCAGGAATGTAAGGAGGCAGGATGTAATTAACCCAGTAACCCTGGCTGAATTCCAACCTGGGTAACACCCCAATTCTTACCAACAGTCCCTTGGGATCTTTAACAGGTGGCCTCAACCTTGGGTTCCCCTCAATCCTACCTTAGCATGATGCTGGCGCACTGGGCTGACTAGCGACTTAGCGGGCACGACAGCAGCACTTGTGCAGAGATTTGTAAATATTAAGGCACAAATGGCCCGTGGGAAGCAGACAACACCTTCTGACTCACCAACCCCACCTCCTGCAGGATCCCACGATTCTCTCCCCCACGCCATTTCTGACACAGGGGTACAGCTCTAGGGTCCGGCCTGCTCAGGTGGAGACAAAGGTGCCAAGTCTCCTTGGAAAAAAGGCACTTTGAGGATCATTCACCAAATCTCTCAGACATATTTTAAGAAGGAATCAACTGGGCCACGCTCCAGCTCAGATTCCAAGTTCCATCTTGGCCTCCCTAAATTCTGCTCGCCTTCAGTCCGATACAGGATTCTTCTTCACCTCCCATGTCTTAAGCTACCGTGCTACACTGCCATGGGGTCGCTCAACAGCTACCACCCCAGAGGTGGCTGCATTTCAGTGGACTTCGCACACAGTGTTCTGGGATCGTTCCGTCCAAGGGACCCTACAGAAGCACAGGAGATACAGTGTCTTCTGCTGGGACCCAGACTCTGTTCAGGAAGCAGCAGCCACACCAGGACCAGAGGATTTTACAACACACTGGATGCCCACATTATTATTCTTGCCTGGACCCATGCATACAAGACATGCCGCCCTCCAATAGGGCTTCTTTCCTACTGTCTCCCGGATGACATTTCCCTCTCCCCAACTAACCCGCAGTCCCAATTCTCCCTGGCCTGCCTGCCATCCAGCCTCACTACTCCGTAGGCACAAGCACCCCGCCAAAGACCGACCAGGATCCCCACCAGCCTCCTACCCTGCCCTCCACCGGGGCAGTGGCAAAATCACAGGGGTGAAGCCGAAGGTGGTACAGAGGAGCGAAGCTAAACCCAGGGGATGGAGAGATGCCAGCCCCTAGAGCATGACAACAGGACCCCTAATGGGGAAAAGCGGGGTGAAGGGCTCCCCCTCCAGCAGCAGAACGGTCCGCACCCTCCCCCTCAGCAGAGGAGTGGCCCCTCTCCCTGCTCCAGCCCCATCCTGGGCAGGGGGGGTCCAGACCCGACGCCTCCCCCCCCGCCCCCAATTCAAGGGATTCTGGCCCCTTCCCCAGCTCCAAAACTCCTCGCCCAGTCAGGCTCCCTATCCCTGCACCCCCCATCTCCCCCTCAACCCCATCCTCCCAGCCCACAGCTCCCCCCCCCGCATCCTCTCTCCCCCTCCCCTCACCCCCTATCTCCCCTCCCAGCTCCTCCCCCACCCCTCATCCTCCCTCTCCGCTCCCCCCCGGCCCACAGCCCCCCACGTCCTCTCTCCCCCTCCCCTCACCCCCATCTCCCCTCCCAGCTCCTCCCACACTCCCCCCTCGTCC